GGGTGGGGGGGGGGGGGGGGGGGGGGGGGGGGGGATGCGGGGAGCCAAATTGAGAGATACTTGTTTCTTTGATATTTTCTTGAGATGTCTCAATAGGTAAGGAAACTAAAGCTAGAACTCAAAACGACAACAACCTAGCCAAGGTGTTCCGAATGAGTATTGTCCGACTTGGTGCGATAGATGCCATCATAGTTGAGTAAAGGAGGACCCAAATGAATGTACAACTTGGTAAGGATGAGGAGGACCAAGGTAGAGTTATTTTTCAAACTAGAGTTAAAATGTTGTCTAAGCTATGTGCCATGAGAAATGACAGAGTTTGGATATGACTTAATTAGCACTTATATGGTTGAGAGATTGAACTTACCTTGTATTGAGCTTATTGCACCCTACAAGTGGAAAGGAGTAAAGAAAAATAAAAGGGTGTTATTGTCGTTCACTGTTGGAAGTTATGAGGACAAGGTTTGGTGTGATGTTGTTCTCATGTATAATTTGTCATATCTTAATGGGAAAATCATGGTATGGTATGCTAATAGTGGAGCTTCATACTACATAGAAAATAATAAATATTCTCTCAAGATGAATAGGGAGAGATTTGCTCTCGCATCTTTGACTCCTTCACAAATTCATGAGGATATAAATCTTTTTAGAGAGGATAGATGATGATGAGAGAGAAAAGATTAAGAGGAGCAAGGGAGTGCATGTTGACATTCCAAGAGAGGAAAAAGGAGAAGATGTGTTGTGTGAAGAGAATGGGGATGTCAAATGAGGAAAAAAGTGACATCGAGAGAAAAGAAAAGTGAGATCATGACCATGAGAGTAAAATAAGAGGGGAAGGTCGTGAGATAAAGAGAGAAAAACAAGAGAGTTTGAGTGAGGCTATTTCTTATACTAAATCTAACATTCTCACTTTTTTTCTAGTTGTTTCGACTCTCTTGTAGGTACTCATGGGAAAGTTTGCATTGAAGAACCATCATTAGATAAACTTAATCTATGATGGTCAAAACTACATACCCTATTGCGCAAGTGCATGCTGATGAGAAGGATAAAGGTAAAGAGAATTATTTTGGATTTGTCCAAGATAAGACTCGTGACAAGAAGTCCAACAAGACAGATGTGGATCTAACACTAATGAACAAGAAAAAACAAGGTGATGGTGTTCCTTTGCTAAACAAGACCAAGTACAATATCTATAATTGGTGTATTCATATTCTTGGTATTCCTAAAATACCTAAGTTTTTCTGGAAGTAATGGACTACACTTTTATTTCTTATATTGGTGATTATATTAATTTTGAGGATGATGATATTTTGCTATATAATAATTAATAAGTCATTAACTATTACCTCTAAGTTCAAGCATAAGAGTAATTTTGGCCTTTTTAAAATTGAGCATGACATCATTTTGATTAGGCATGATGCTTGTGGGAGGGGACTTGTGAAAGAGTTAGATGATTCCTCCTCTCTTATTCTTCTAGAGTTGAATGAGTTTTTGTGTGACAACTTGTTGAAATATGATTCTTTCCGTGGGATAAGACATTATTCTTCAAGTCTTGATGATTGTGAGCTTAAAAAGGTGATAATTAGTGATGGGAGATACATGACTATTATGATACTAGTGATCAAATACTCTTTGTTGGACCTTGTTTTAAGAGTACTTACTTAGAAATTATGAGATTCTATTTGAAATTCAAAAATTCTTCTAACATTCTTGAAAACTCATGTGCTTATATGAATAGTTTTTATGTGGAAGAATATGTGAGTGGTGTAATAAAGGATACTTGGCTATATCATTAAAGTGTTCAATTTGATGAATGTTTTTGGGATCTTGTGTCGTTTTTTGCATGCCCATTGAAATACTTTATTGATAGAACTAAATTGGAGTTCCATGTATCATTTCCTTAGGCATCTAGACGGGAATTTGGTTGTGCTTATATAAGCAAGAGAATTTTCTACTCGGATGATAATGTCCACATGCTTTATAAGGATGTATTTATACATGCTAGGCTTAATTTGGTTAAGTGGACACGTGGTCACTATCTTGCTTTTCCTACCATTGTTGCTTTCAATTGATGGATGTCGTTTACTAATGCATGTCTTCTTATTTTGCAAGATTCAAATTCGAGGAAGAATTATTTTTTAGCATCCACGGTAGCATACCTCCATTAAAGTTGATATGTTTCAATGGGAATCAAGAAGATGCTTATCGTGGAAGAACCCAAGAATTATAAAGAGAATGGGACTAAGTGCAGCACGTACTTCATGATCCAAGTCCAAGAAGAGAAAGATTGGGGTCACAATGAAGCCCAAGAGAAAGGGCCCACATGGAGCCCAAAGGAGTGGGCAACAAGGGGGTTATTTGCTCCCCGAAGTGCTGAAAGTTAAACCCCAAAAATGGTTGAAATTCACGCCCAAAGTAGGGCTGAAATTAGGCATGTGAATCGGAGGAAATTTGGCCACTCTTTCCTTTCTTTTTTTTTAGCTAATTTTAGGAAGAAGTTTGGTATTATTTTTTACATGCTTTCCTAGTTGAAAATTTCCTAATTTAAAAGTTGTCTAGTTTGGTTTTAGTATTTACTATTTCCATAAAATAGGATTCGAATCTCATCCTATATTAGGGTTGAATTTTGTTATTTTTCATTAGACGTGATAAATATTATTTGAGAGATTTCTCTTTTTTACATCTTTGTGTGATGTGACTATAGATTTATCTTAAAACCTTATAAGAACAATATTTTAAGAGGTAAGATTATTCTTAACTTGATATATTTGGTTCTTATTCATAAATCTAGGATGGTAATTAGTCGTATACTAATTATTGTCTCTAATTTCGTCGAAATAGGGGTCTAGATTACCTTTTGATCTTAGTTCTTGATTGACTCTATTTGTATCATAATTAGTTCTAATCCGCTAATTTTCAATACTAAGATCAGTTAGGGTTGTTAAACTTAATCTTGAAATTTAGGAATTTTATTCTCAAATATCTTTTAAAAATTGTCTTTAATCTTTGTATTTTTGCTTCTACATTATTTTCTTCTTTTTATTCAAGTTACCCGATTTTTATCAACAATACTATAAGAAGATTCACATGCTAAAAAGCCATCATGAAGAAGTGGTATAACACGTGAAGTTTATGATATCACAAGAAAAATCCAAGAATGTCTACAATATAACTTGGCATTGGCCATGGATGGTATCAAATCAATAGGTAATCCCTTTGGAAAGAAGAAACGAAAGCAGAACAAGAGTTTTGCGTGATTGTTTCCAATGGTGAAATTGGGGGTTAGGTTTATGGTATATAAGGGCATGGGTCTTTTTAAATTGGATTGGGCTGTTTTTGGGCTGGTCTTTTTGCCATGTGGACCAATAAATTGTGCCACGTGTTTAATTAAAAGTCCCACATATTCCATATCCCGTTAAAATGAGGGGGAATTTGGTGCTTAGAGATAACGTTAAAGGGAATTCTGGCTCATTAGGTCGAAGGGAGGTATTTTTTTTAATCAATTTTCAATACGTTCATGGCAATTTAAACCCTTTTACGATCATTTTATACCACAAAAAATGTTATCGGGGATACTCTCGCTTTTCTTGAATCTTGATACCACTTTTCCGTTCTTTTATCATCTAAAAACATAAAAAGTTAGCATGCAAATATTGGTTCCCTCACAAATACTCGACAATGCACAATCTCTACTCTTGTCATAATTGCCTTCCATGGTCAAAAGAAACTATATAAACGATAAAGAGGTATATTGGTTAAATGAGAGTTGGTTCAGCTCAACATATATAACAATGATGGACAAATTATTTTCTCAAAACTCATTGGAATGTAAGTATTATGCTTAACATCTATAGTCATGGTTTTAGACCCAGAGTAGGAGTTGTACTTACTTGCTCAAGAGTCAAAAACATGATAACGTTCCACGATCCTAGTCGAAAAAAATTGGGGAGGAAACCCTTATAAAAAGCAAGTGGTCCCTGCATTAGCCATGTTAAGCTACATAAGCATTTCATATTAATATCTACTAATCCGAAAACCAACTTTTCTTGATATTATCAGGGTAAATTTGAGATCAGTGATGCAACACAATGTAAGTTGAGAATACAGGATCGCCAGCAAGCAGTTTGTCAATTAGTAACTAAAGGGTATCCACTGCTCTGAGCTCCCCATTGACACCAGTTGATACACCAAGGGATTAAGAAGCATAGCTCTAGACAGGAGGAATTCATACAAAGAAGATAGAAACAGGAGTAAATATTTGGTTAATTGTATAGCTGCTTTTTGTGTTATAAAAAAAGTTCCTCTATAGCAATATTTTTCCTCATACATTATTTAGCAATTAGACAAAAATAGGTCATATCCGTCATCCGCTATCTGTTATCTATCTCACTACCTACTCCTGCAACTTTTTTTCTTCTTTTTTTCTTTCTTTCATTTTCTTTATGATCAGTGGGAGGAATCCACTTCTCATTGCATGCAGAGGCACATTTCAACTTCTGATTAGTTTTTATGAAATATGATTCTTTCACTAAAAAGCATCAAGAAGATGCATGGAAAAAATACAAATGAGTGATTTTCAACTTCAACTTCTGGATTCTCCAAATAAAAATAAAACAATCTTATGTGTGATGTTCAAGCTGAAATTCGAAGTTTTTAGCTATTTCAAGCATGAGTATTGTTTCATACTTTGGGACGTATATTACTTTTCAAAATACAATTACTGAAAGGAACACCTTTAGTTAGACTTGCTACAATTCTGTGTCTACATATGCAGTAAACAATTTTAGGTCGCAAATTACTGAAGTACGTTTTACTAATACTTTTCTACCTACAATAAATATGTTATGCTGACAAATGACCATGCGTTCTGAAACAGAAAATGACTTAACAAAATTACCTCGTACTTCAATGTTCGGAAAAAACAATCAAAGGTGTTCCTGTATACTGAATCTCCCATCATTCTTGATTTGACCTAAAAGACAGCAAGCAAAAACCTTTTCATTCATAAAAAAATATTTAATAAGCAACACATTTTTATAAGTTATATTTTGATGAAGTAAGTAGTATTGTAAATGGCATCAAGAAGATGCATATGGAAAAATAGTTACAAAAGAGTGAGATTGATAGCTCTGTTACAACGAGAATTGAGACCTATGCTAAGGATAAAGAGCTTACAAAGTCCAACAACTTCAAATGAGATTCTACGGGAAATAAACTATCCCAGCTAAACAAATCTAAAAGACATCTAGCCTTAAGGGAATGGTTTGGAGTTGATATTCCTTCAGAACATCTTTTGTTCCTCTCATCTAAACACACCAAAATAATTCAAGCAGGAATCATTTTCCAGACTTCTCCGATGGATTTATCAACTTGCCATGAAATCCAACCAGTGTAGACATCCTTGATACTGTCAGGCATGACCCATCTTAAGCATAAAATTGTCATGAACATGTTCCAAATATAAGCAACCATTGCACAATGTAGGTGAAGTGTCCCTGAAATTTCGATTTAAATTTAACACTTTAAGTGTTAACAAATGTAGAAAATATTTTTTTTCATACCGAATGGCGACGAAAATTAAGAAAAATATTTTTGGACATTATAACATGATCCCCGGGTACATGGATGGAGAATGTAATGATGTTCAAAAGACAATATGGAATTACCAACAAAAAAAAATCAACTCAAATGCTAAGGTATTCTCAGGTCACGAAATGGGGACTTAAAATGACAATTTTTTGCTACTAAGTGAGTCTCAAAACAAAGGGAACTATTGGTATTTTCAAACAAACAAACAAAAAAAACTCTCTTCATTTCTTACCATGACAAATGAATCCAGCTCTGTCTCACAATGGTTCTTCAAGGGTTCGACGGCTAAGGTCATTTTTATGCTAATCAAGGTAAGTTTTGTCCAATATTTGTGTTAGTCGGAGTTGGTTAATATCTATACGAACAACAGTATAATCTTTGATTAGGGAAGATTTCTACAAGAACATCAAGTATCTTCAAATAATCTCTAAAATTGAAATTTTGGGTTTTTTTCAAGAAGGTAATTTCTACACTTATATACATGATAAGTATGAGTTTTTTATGGATATTTATGGTGGTAAAAAGGCGCTATTTGACTTGGTCAATGGTTTGAGTGACCATAAATGCAAAACCCTAATATGACATTAATAAAGGGTATGAAGTTGGTGAAAGTGATGATCAATAGTGTCTATGGGTTTAAATGGTGGACTTATTGTCTAATACGGCTCAAATAAATGTAGTTATGCCGTTGTTGGGATTATTTTTTAGGTGATTAACCAAGACATCACCTAAAATGAGGGAATATGAATTTTGTGAAAATTCAGCCCAAGTGTAGAACACTTTGTTGATTAAACTGGTATTGGTATATGTTGTTGATTATTACGAGTTCATGAATGTATATAGAAGTTGTTGGAGTATTTTGAAACAGTTGGAGTGACTCTTAGCTTGATTAAAGAGACTTTGAGGTATGCCAAGCTTCTAGCTACTTGTATGTTTTCAAAAATCACTTCATTACTTGAATGATAGTGCTAATGAGATCCCATGCACGTGTGAGATAAGTTGACATGGTCTACTCTTGGTTAGGGATTTAAATGATGAAATGCTTAAATAGTTAAGTTCTTGAAAATTTAAAAAACTTAAAGATTCTTTATGACTATTGGGGTTAATGTGCGATGCACTTCATCATTTACTGATCTCTTGTGACTTGTTGGTTACAATTGTTTTTACATGTTTATGAATGAATTGATTTGATTTACCCTATTTTGATTTAATGAAATAGATTCAGCCAAAAGCCATTACTTAAGAAAAGGAAGTAAGTAAGAATGTTTACAAAAGACTTTAATATTGATTTCCTCATCGGGTCGAGGAGATGCCCGGGCCCGTGGGTTTTGTACCCCGGTGTACCATTGCTTGTCCAATCAAGGGGATGATCAGGCCCGGGGCTTTCGTCCTTGATGTATCATAGCTTATCTAGCAGTGTTGGGCTCGTGGAAGACACCCCGAGGTATACATCACATATGATTATGAGGCTTGAGACATTGACATCAAAACTGTGGAACACTACACAATTGAGATGGTTTTAAGATTCTAAACATGTTATAAAGTAATGTGTGCTTCATTACATCTTTTGATGAATTAAATTATATACTTGGTTCCTCTATTATACAATTCTAGTTATGTTCCCTTTGTATGCTTTTGGTGAGTTAAATTGCTGATGATATATCTTTCATGCACTTGTTACATTCTCCATATATATTTGTATAACACTTTCCCCACCACGAGTGGTGGCTATGACACATATCTGAGTATTCCAATACACAGGCATCATTTTTAAAATGATGTAAAGTTTAGGTTTAGGATATGGCCAGATCCAGGGCGATCAATGAACAACAAGAGTTCCTGCAACTTTCTCCTTTTGGTGAGCGCACCTATGTACTTGTGGGATCACCTATTTAATTGTATATTTTTGTACAGTGCAGGATTTCCCCATAACTTTATCATTTCATTTGTAGTGTCATAGAGACTTTGTATTTAGTTGGTATAATGAATACTCATATGGAATTGTGAATGACATTTCTACTTATGTCTAGTTTATGATTTGATGCACTTTATCGTTAATGAACTCTTTTCTCATTTCTTTCGCTTACTATGGAAAATAATTAGATGATTGAGTTACATGGTTATGAGTTGAGTATGTAATACATTATAATGGTTCTCTTGGTGCAAGCTAATAGGCATTGGGTGTCGGCCACGTCACAATCCATTTTGGGGCATGACAGTTGGAGGAGATGTCTATTGGTTTCTATGTTCTGCTTACACACATAGCATCTTTTAACAGTGATTATCTTCCCTCCATTAAGATTTTCTTGAGTCAACCAGGCCTCATGCAGTACTATCCAGCTAAAACATAACACCTTGGGGATGCTTTAATTTTTCCAGATCAGTTTCCATGGCCAAGTGTCCATTTGATTTTGGGCACACAAAGTTGTATATCCTTCACTGTATATTTGGCATCTGACTTTCCTTCAGATCTGATTTTGTCTGCATCTTGCTCATTGAGTATGCAATTCTCCAATCTAGAAAGCATATTAAATAAGTCTTCAAGTTCCTAGTCTTCGAAGCAGTGTTCTTAATGGCGCTCGCCATTCGCCAAAGGCGCGAAGGCGAGGCGAGCATGTCGTGCCATTTCCCAGTGAGGTGCGGCGAGATCAATTAGGCAACGTGAGGCAACGTAATGGCGACCTGAATGGCGGCGCCTTTTAGTTTAAATTTAAAAAGGTCTTGACTTAATAATATTAGTCAAAATTAGGGTTTTTTTTTCATATTTCCAAAATTGGGACTCAGACACGATTCTTCTTCTCCTTCAACCTCGCGATTCTCTTCTTCTCCTTCAGTCAACTACTTGGGACTCAGTCACGACCTGCAATACTCTTCTTCTCCTTCAACCTCGCGTTTCTCTTCTTCTCCTTCAGTCGACTCGCGCGAATTGAAAGGTATGGCCTCTTTTCTTTCTTCTTCTCCTTCAGTCCTCTTCTTCTCTTACTTTCTCCTTCAACCTCGCGATTCTCTTGTGAAGTGAATCTGAAATCCTGAACTGCCTTCTCAAAAAAAAAAAATTGAGATACTACTGCTTGCTGCCTTCTCTGCTCTGTTTGTTTCCTCTTTTTCTTCAATGCTCTGTTTTTTTCCTCTGTTTTCTTTGTTCACACTTCACTGTAATATGCCCTGTTTGTTTCCTCTTTTTCTTCAATGCGCTGTTTTTTTCCTCTGTTTTCTTTGTTCACTGTAATATGCTGCTGAATGCTACTGCTTTCACTGTGCTGTCTATTTTTTTTTAAAAAAAAAAATTCTTCTATAGTAATTAATAGTAATTACTAATTAATATAGTATATGACTATATGTTGTATTGTACAATAGTGAATTCAATGGCGGATGCTAGCAAAAAGAGGGACATTGGATGGAATTATGGTACTCAAGGAGCAACGAAAGATTCGGTTAATTGTAACTTTTGTGGGAGTACTTTTAATGGTGAAATAACTCGACACAAACAACATCTAGTGGGTGGTTTCAAGAATGTTAAACAATGTACAGCTTGTCCGTCGGAGATTAGAGAAGAAGTAAGGGCTTATATGCAAAATAAAATCGCTAATAATCCCAAATTTCAAGTGAGGCAGCCGGAAGAATATATTGATATTGATGATATGGATGAATATGCGGAAATGATGCCTCCCTCCAAAACTCCAAAGATATCTTCTAGTGGAGGTGCATCATCCACCGCGCGGAATGTGACGAAAGGCCCTATGAATCTCTATTTTCCGCATAAATCAACACAAAAAGGAGGCTTTGAAAAAGGAGGAGGAATTGATGAAACAAAGAAAATTCTAAGAGAGCGTGCGGTAAGTGCTTTCGCGATATGGATGTATGATGCGGGGCTCCCTTTTAATTGTGTCAATCACAAATCATTTGATAAATTTATTGAGACAGTAGGACAACATGGCCCCGGAATGAAGCCTCCTACATTTCATGAAGTTAGAGTTACTCACCTAAAAAAAGAGGTGGAGAAAGTGGAAAAAATCGTTGATGAGCATAAAGTGCAATGGACAAAGTTTGGATGTTCCATTATGATGGACAAATGGACGGCACGAAATGGTAAAATGATCATCAATATTTTGGTGAATTCTCCAATCGGTAGTGTATTTCTTGGTTCTGTCGGTGCTAGCAATGAATCTACCGATTCCACCAAAATGTACAAGTTGTTTGAAAGCACTATTGAAAGAATTGGACCGGAAAATGTTGTACAAATTGTCACTGATAATGCTAGTGAGAATGTTAAAGCGGGAAGCATGATGATGGGTGCGTACCCACACATTTATTAGACTCCATATGCCGCTCATTACATCAACTTGATGTTTGGTGACATATTCAAGGTTAAGCCATATGCTTCCGGTAATATCACTCTCATATCCTCTAACTTTCTTTATAGTCAATATTTAATACTTATTAGCTACTAATTACTATAATCTTACCTTAACAATGTTTAAGAAGGCCATCAGAATCCATTCTTACATTAGTCAAAGGCCATTGTTGTTAAACTTGATGAGAAAATTCACCAAGGAAAGAAAATTTTGGTAAAAACCGGCCAAGACAAGATTTGCAACGGCCTTCTTAACTTTGAAAGCTATGTACATACAAAGAAAAAACTTGAGAACTTTAGTCCTCTCAACCGAATGGACTTCAAGTAAATTTGCAAAGGAAACTTTGGGGAAAGAAGTTGCCAATCTTATTATTTATGCCTACTTTAGGGATGATATTGTTCGAGCACTTACAGTTTGTGGCCCTTTGACAAAAGTGCTTCGTTTGGTGGATGGGGAGAAAAAACCGCAATGGGCTATATTTATGAAGCAATGGATAGAGCCAAAGAAACTATTGAACAGGGTTTTCGTGGAATTAAGAAGCAATATGAGTAAGTCACAGACGGAGAGGGGTAGAGGGGCGGGCCCATTATCCACCGAGTTTAGAAGGCTATGATTGGTCCAAAGGGCGGGTCACAGATGGATTTCTCGGTTATAAAAAGGTTTTCGTGGAGTTAAGAAGCAATATGAGTAAGTGTTTGAAATTATTGATGCAAGGTGGTCAGACCAACTCCATCGGCCTTTGCATGCTGCAGGCCATGTTTTGAACCCAAGATTGTATTATAAAGCTCAAGAAGAGGGAACTTTACTAAAGACTCTGTGGAATGAGTATTATTCATGTGTTGAGAAGATGATCCCCGATACAACAATACAAGATTTACTAGTCGCTGAGCTTCCTAGGTACAAAATGGCGAATGGACTATTTGGTTGTGGTCCGGCTAAAAGAGCTAGAGACACAAGGTCACCGGGTAAGTGAGCTGATTTAGCTCTTACTTACATTATTCGACTTATTTACACTCATTAGCCTCTAAATTGATTTTATTATAGTGGAATGGTGGTCACTATTTGGTAGTGAAACACCAAACTTGCAAAAGTTTGCCATGAAAGTATTAAGCCTAACTTGTAGCTCATCCGGATGTGAGCGAAATTGGAGTGTGTTTGAACACGTAAGTAAAAAAATTATATCCTAATTTCCATATTATATTATTATCAGAACATTAGTTAATATCTATAACTTATGCGCAGATTCATTCCAAAAAGAGGAATAGGCTTGCACTATCGCGTCTCAATGATCTAGTGTACATTAAGTACAATAGAACATTGAAACGTCGTTATGATGCTCGTGATCTCATTGATCCAATTCGCTTGGATAACATTGATGATTCAAATGAAT